AGAAATAACTGCTTTATGCTCACAATATTCAGAGGTGCAAAAGCAATTAAATATCTAACTAGCAAGAATGGGCAAAGATGCCACAGATCTTCAAACCTTCTTGAGGTACAAGGGCCATGATCAAATGGAGATAGTTCATCCCTGTTTACTGAACAGAATTTTTTTTCCTTTTGCAGCAATATTCTCTTTGCACACGTCTTGTGACTGTCACCTTTCTGTAAAGTGAGCTATATTACTCAAGCTCTTGAATAAGGCCTTGAATCAATAAAGCCTACCCTAGACTGCTATAAATTAGTAAAGCAGAAAGAATCTGAATGGTTGAAATGCTGTGCAAACTTTGGCACAAATACTTCTAGTTTTACAGCTCATTCCAACAGAGCAACCTGCTAAACAGCAATGAAGAAGTCTTGGCCTCAGTGCCTACAAGAACTGAACCAACACATTCAGGAACACTGGCTTCTGATTTCCCCAGATATATCCTGGAGTTTATTTAAACAGATTAAAGTGAGAATCTCTCCCCAAATCACAGCAAGTGTGAGGGACTAGTGGGAGAAGATGTGCCTTTTCAATCAACAAAGTTACAAGATGGTAGTTCAGGTACTGAGGGGCTGTAAGGATAAGGAGGATGTACTGCCAGATTCAGTGGTATATTCTGAGTACCTATGAGAAGAGTACTTATTTACCTTGTTAAGTTAAATATCAAAGATTAAGTGTGGTTTCTTGAAGCACTTGAAGTTTTTTCCCCAAGAAAACCCAGGCGGAAACAGTAAGAATAAATTGTTAAATAAGCCATGGTAAATGAAGAGTCAAAAGGTCTCAGTTTAAGGAAATGGTGCTAAAAGTAAACAAGATGACAACAGCTGAATTCCTCAAATGTTGAAGGGAAAAGAAATTAAACCATTTAGATTAGTGAAGAAGAAAATGGATAATTAACACTGCACAGCCTTAATGTTTTCAGGTCATCTTAAATACTGCCTGAAAGAAATTCTATTTAGTTGACAAAACCGTAGAGTTGATCCTGACAGTGTGTAGTAGCGTGATGGATTAAACTGTTGCCTCAGTCCTAGCAAGAACCATTTTCAAATATGTTGCTATTTACATGTATGTACTCATCTTCTTCCAAGAAAACTTTCAGTACAATTTAATTTATATACACACACAAATGTACTGGAATTACTAACATCTTCTGAAAATGCAGGACAAAGGATGGTTTCCATTAACAGGTCCTCTCCCAGGATAATGCACTAATTAACTGTCAGACTCCTTGATGTTTTTTCAATCTAACAAGTGCCATCCCAATCAAGGAGCCATATGTCCCCATCTTTTGGGAAAAAAAATAGGAAGAAAATTAAGGTAATGAATAACAGACACCAAGACAGAATCACTTCCATTCTAATCACCCTTCAAAACCAGAACTTATTCTCAAACTGCCCAAGAACTAATGAATACTCAATTACTTTTTAAGGGTTTGCATAGTAAATTCTGTTTTATGCCATGTAGAACAGAGAAGTGACTTTGCAAGGGTGCAGAGGAAAGAGCCTGTTAGCAAGAGGACAACTGCTAAGACGTTTTCAGAATTTCCTAGCTTTTACTTATGATCCTGTCCCATGCTTTCCTCTATCAAACCCCACCCCAGCATGCTTTAAAAACAAACACACACGAAAACAAAACTACCAACCAAAAAAACATATCAACACAAGTTTCAGCAGCAGCTACCTACTAGAAAAGGATTCCAAAATCAGACTTGTTAGTGAAAGTAGCATTTGTACTTTAACATGGGAAGCAGGAATTGTTAGTACAGCATTTCTGATGAGAACAGATAACATGACTGTACTCAGTGACGCATTAAACAAATTTGATCCTAGTTCTTTGAAAAGGAAAACCCACATAGAAAGTGGCATGCGTGTAGAACATTAAACATAGGGTTCCAAAAGCAAGATTACTGGTGCAACAGTAAATGGATCCATGACTTCTGTAGTTCTGCTTCTCACGGTTCTCTCCATCACTAAAAACCACTATGCAAACAGAAACATACTTGTCTCTGGTTAAAAACTTTTCTAAAAAGCAGCTAGTAAAAACATACTCCAAACAAGCCTCAAACACCTACTGCATCAAATTTTCCAAGTTCCATGGTATGCATTTAAAAAAAGGGGAATCCTCACAGCTGCCACAGTAAACATTATGCACCCTAACCCTAGTAATGCTAGTAAAAATTGCGTCCTCAAGTAAAACAGATAATTCTGACTGAAGTCACAATACCTAAGCATATCTTTTCTTACAAGCACAGAACTATTGTAAATGCTAGAGAGGCCTTAAACAGCTACATGATTGGATCCTTCTCCGGTAACCTCCTCTCATGGCTAATCTTTGAGCAAGAACTCCCCATGAGGGGGGAATTAATGTACTTCAAACCAGGCAACTCACGCAAATTGTTAAAAAAAAGGCTTTTGCAGGGGGAAAAGGATGATGGAAAGAACCACTATTCAAATAAAAAATAGTGAAAAATATAGGAAGGCTCCATCTAAATCTAAGAGTTTAAGACTGGAGGGGAGAGGGAAGGGGAAGAAGCATCTCCATATTTACATAATCATGGCTCAGATGATTTCTGCCTTTATGTTGATGTAATGGAAGACCAAGAGAAAGATAAGAAAGTACACAGAGAAATGCTAGATAACATTTCATATTCCTTATTCTGAAAGTAATGGGACATAAATTAGCCATTAGTGAAAAAAATACTTCCTACAGCCAGTATTATCTGTCTCAGTTAAGAGGGATCAGTATATTCCAAATAAACACTGCTCATCAGCCAACCCAGAGATATGTAGTAACTCCCAACTTTGGTTCTGTACTAGCAGAAGTTGTTTGTGTTGCAACAATTCTTTTGCTTTAAATGTTTGAGAAGTGCATTCCCCCTATATAATTTATTGATCATTAGAGATGAAAAAAAATTAAACTTACATTTACATTTCTTATAAGTCGTATAGTAATTCTTCCTTCGCCCCCAAGATACTTCTTTAGGCTATCAACTTAATATTGATCATATAAATCCTCAGATATGCCTTAAAACAAAACACATTTTTCATTTAAAAGATTAGCTACAGGCTTTTGTTCAACTGACAAAATACACTAAGAAGTGTAAAAAATATTTATTCAACCTAATTCAACATAACTATAACTTCCAACACTTAAACCCAAGATTTACAACAGAGTAATGATTTTCTGCCACTCAGGTGAAAGCATTTTATAATCCACACAGTATTTTTATAATTGTATTTTTACAACAGCTTTAATTTCCAGAGGAGACAATGAGCTTTCCCATGGAACAAGTTTCAAACCCACTAATTTGCACCATTCAATTCTTTATGAGCATTTAAAAAACAGTAATAAATTGGTTGGAAATATATACAGTGAAGACCACTGAAAAGCTATTTTCTCGAAATGAGGAGTTTCAAGACTATCTTACAGAAAGCAGCAACCTTCAGAGTCTGCTACTTGATTTAGAGTTTTATATAAAAGTGAGACCACTAAGACAAATATAATCAGACTTACAAGATTATAGTAATTCTTTAGTTACAGCAAGAACCTCAAAAGTATTCACTATTGATTGAATGTATAATTTTCAATACCTGTAGTTTCTGAATACTTGTTGGCCATTATATACACTTTTGTACAGTTCTAAAATATTACATCTCAGTAATTAAGATAAACATACTATAGAAAAGGTATCATACTTCGAATTTCTCCAACATACATTATTGCAGCCAAATATGAAATCTATTCCACATTTACCTTATTCCATGTGAAAAAGAAATATTTACTTATGAATACTTCCACTAAAAGATTTTTTTTAAACCTTTCTCCGTGTATTTGACATATGAATATGAACACGGAAAAAAAACCCACAACTTTGAGAAAAACAAATAAATTGTTGTTAAGAAAAAACTTCAAGTACTAAATCTAGGTTAGGTCTGGTATGAGTATTAAATGGCTGTATTATGTTTGTCAAAATTTCACTTCACAAAACAGTTAATTTCTTTTGAAATTAACTGTATAAATACATCAAACAACTGAAGTGCTAATGTCTCCCTCAGCTGGCTACTTTGAACTTATTGTAACAGTAACTTGGTTTATTACACATTTAAGATTTATCCTTTAGAACTTCACAGAATGGAGCCAAGTGGTCTTCTGAGTGTCTAGCCTGCTATGGACCATGCTCACATTAGGTACCCAAAGTATACTCTCACCCCCTTCCAGACAATCCTCCCACTAGAACTGGTCTGGACAGAAAAGAGCCTAGCCCTGGTACAGAGCTGAGTTACACACCCAGGTCTGTAAGCTTAGAAGGATGCTCCAATCTGTCAGCTGAAATGTAGTTTTAGTGTCCAATGTTGTTTCCTCACACTTCTACTGCTCTTTCTACTTGTATGGATATTTACATAATCAAAAGGAACACAAAAACTAAACAAGTGCTCTAATACTTAACTACAAAATAAGCAACTGAAATTTACTTCCCCTCCTTTATTTATTTTACTGTGGAGGAAAAAAGTGCTATCCAGCACCAGTTACAAAACAGTAAAAAAGAGCCGTGAGAAAATAACACTAGGCACTGCAGAAGATACAACAGGACAGTACAAATTATCGGTATTTTAGGAAGCCATGCTAATTTCAACACGTAGTATAGGTGGCCAAAGCTGACACACAAGTCCTGTTGAGAGTGATCTATCTTCTGCTTTCTCTGACCAGTCATTTTACACTCCCTGTTTGATACCAGCAAAAACCAAGGAAATCTCTATTGACTGATGTCCTTGATGTCCCCACAATTACTTCTCCTTGGTAATGATTCACATTTCCTTCTAAAAAAAATTCCCTTCATTGTGTGAAATGCTGAAGTGGATGATAGTGTGGGTATGAAAACACATATAGAAAAGGCATTTGGATATAGCCTACATTAACTACACGATTTAAAATGTTCTTGGTTATGTAGTTGATGCTTTTTTTTTCCATTCAGCATATTGGCTCAAAGAAAATAATTCAGAAGCCTGTTGCCCAACAGAAATACTCAAAAATAATGAAAGCCAAGTATATTCTTAGGTTCAGTGGTTGCTGAAAGGCTTTACCCTGCCACAAGACAGTGCTGTATTATATGTAAAGAAAAAAAAGAAGCAGCAACTTATTAAAATTCTCCACTACTGTGCAAGAACAATGGAACCAATACAACATGGAAACCTGTTAGGTGAGACTGTATGACATCTGGAGATCACAGCCTTATGCTCCTTCTTGCTCAGGATAATTTAAAATTTTGCGGTGAGCTTGGCGTAAATATTGCTGTTGTTTGAAGTAAACCTTAAAAGCTCCTTTTATAGCAACAAAAGCAATTCCACCCTGAAATAAAAAGATATTTTGAAAACCTGCACAGTTCAGACTCATATAACTGCAAATTTTATTTTTAAAAATTTCTGGTCAAAAAAGACTTGTTTTCCAATCATATAGCACTTTCTTTTGAAGTTTAGCTAATTAGAACAATTCCAAATTAGTATCTCAAAGTCTTCTGTCAAATGCACTATTACAGAGGTTAATGTTACTTAAAGGAATTACATACTGGATCTATAAAACCTTTAGAAATTTACTTGTAAGTCTGAGAAATAGTCTAAAAAAGCAATCCAAATACATCTAATTTAAAGAACAAAATAAAATGCAGATATGTATCTGCTTTCCTCTCGGAATATATACTATACATAGCGCAAGGAATAATACTAATTCTGTAATCACACTGTGAAAAAGGCCACTTGCCGAAAGTCTTGAAAATAAGAAGAGACACTTAAGAAGCCTTTAGTCTGCACGAATGGTTGTAATATCACTGTTTCTTCCATATGCAAGAGAGGGGTACATAAACGGGTTGGAACTTAAAATGAGCTGAAGTGATGTGTCTGATGACCAGGGATACCATCTTACCAAACTCTGTGCTTCCCCTTGAAAGGCTGGAAGCCAGAGAGGTCATTCACAAAGGAAGAGACTGTCTCCTCTCTTTGTCCTCCTCCCTCCATTCAACTACTATGGAGAGTTTATTTTTCTCTCCTTATTATTGGTAAGGTCTGCCTAGTACAGTACCAGATAAAAGTTTCAGCCTTGTCTTGAAATGATATTAGTTTCAGTCATAAGGACAAAGTCCCTAACATCTGTGATGCTTCTCCATTGCCAAGATAGGCAACCTTAAAAAAAACACCCTTAATCAAATGCCACTCTTAAGTTGTAGATCAATTTATGTTCCTTTCTACTTTTCCTCCCTCCCCCCACAACACTTCATATTCCCATATTATAATTGTTCATGAAACAAACAATACTGAATCTTACCAAGATCGTCCTTTGTAAATTTGAGTTAACACTGCTGAACATCAGCTTGCCAACTATCGTGGCAATAGTAGGGAAAACTAGAGCTCCACACAGAATACGTGTAGCAGAGACATGATCTGCCAAAGGGTTGGCCTCTGCTGGAATACGAGGAACAGGACATCCAATGCCTAAAGGGATGAGAGTGGGGGAAGAAAAGGTTACACAGCCACTACCTCAAACAGAACACAAAGCACAGTAGTGCCCACTCCATTAGAAATCTTTAGCCCAATTACTTTGAGAACTATCCCTCTTCTCAGTGAATATTCTATTTCCATTAAATGTATGTATTAATTTTTTACTTTCAAATAAGAACCATGATTTTCAGTAGCTCGTTTGGTTACTAATGCCTTAATTGAAACCATGTTCCTGCTCTTCTTGCCCCACCTTTCTCAGTAGGTACTATACAAACACAATCTAGACAACATAAAATAGACAGTAGGTGTTAATCACCTTTACTTAAGAATGGTGAAAACTACTTGCCTATCCCCATCTCTTAAAGGCAAATTCAAGCTTGGTATTTCCTTTCAAATTTAATCACGTTACCTGGAAATATGCTGTTCAAAATTTGTAGCTTATTAGAGTATTTGCGCCACAGTCTGAGCACATAGTCCTCCCAACGAATCATCTTGCCCAATATTAGCATGACTGGGATAGTGGGAAGTCCAATCAAAAGAAATAAAGGATCAGCTCTCTCCATGACGTCAAGACCTTCTTTGTGCCCCACAACCTGGTAAATATGTATATAGTTGACAAACATAACAAAGGCTACAACTGAACAAAGCATACAACTTTTTAAAAGTCTAGTTTGTTTGGAGCTGCCACACATTTTAAAGAAAAAAAATACTGTTTTACCTAACGTACTCAGTTTTCCCTTTGTATCCTTGGTTGCTTATCAAGTGTAAGGCAGGTGAGCTACCAGCCCTAGTTTGCAAGTCAATCCTGCAGAGAGCTGTAACACAATTCCTTACCATGTCAAGAAAAGTTTCATATGCTTCTCTGTCAGTAAAAGCCTAAACATCTGAAACTTTCCAAATGCAAAGAAGAATTTACAATTTTACAATAATAATTCTACACACAGAAATTGACTAGATGCTACTCGTTAAAGGATAAATTGATAGCAAGTATATCAGGATGTTTTAATAAAAAATTTCTGTTATTTAGGAATACCTTATGCAACTGAGATGACGCTATTAAAAAGTATTGCTTCTATAGACAATGCAGGAAGAAGTATATTATTTTCAAGTGCAGTGGAAAAAGCAGCATATCTTCACTTGTCCCTTATTTTTAAACATGGTTAGTGCTACCATTTTAAAAGACAGTCATTACTGATGTGTCTAAACCTTGCTACTGGCACATAAAAAAGGTAATCACTTTGCAGTTTATAAAACATATGTATTCAAACTGTAGCAGAACAGTGCCTTATGCTTTCCTAAAAAGTACATACCTTTTATTTTAAATAAGTAACCCTAATAGGGTTGAGTAAAAAAAGGAAATTAAACTGGTTGATATCCTATAGAGTTGTCTCAATTTAAGAATTACTAAATGCTAACAAAGTCCTTGAAGTGCTTCTAGAAAGAACGGGCTCTTTCATGGCTTTTTTCCATAAGAATGCAGGAAGACTAAAAAGACTAAAATAATAATTATTACATTTGTCAGGCACTGGATTTCCTGATGCGTTTTCATTGACTTCTTGTTTTCCGCCCAAACGTAAAAGCTATCAAGTCTTCACTTGCACAAAACTTAGAATTAGGTGGTAAAGAACATGCAACAATAGCAAAATTAAGAAAAAAACCAAACAACAAAAACCAGTACTTCTGGAATAGGAAGAGCACAGGGAAGAAGCTAGGGTAAGGTACCACAGTACTTAGAAACTATACTTTAGCCTTGCTTTGAGAACCATTAAATTTTATTCTTCTAGAACAGGAAGTTATGTTATACACCACAGTCTCTAAAAATAGGCATAACCAATATTGTTGCTGCCGAAAGATTACTCCTGCAAAAATATTCAGCATTTGTCTTCCAGCTTCTTCACTATCTTCCACCTGAACTGTGACGTCTGACACTGTCCTTTTTCTCCTTATAGTCCTTGTCCACCACAAAAAGCCTCAGTATCTTGTCTCTTCTGCTTGAGATTACTATTTCTCTCTGTTTTCAGTAACCCTATATGATTTGTTACTGACTCAGCTATCCCTGGAGTCACAATGTCAATTCTGCATTTATTTTTCTCCATCTGAAGCTTAACCTTTAAAAATAGCTTTTGTGCTTCTCTCAGGCCCTCCAAATGAAGGAGAGGAGTCTGAAGTGTATCAGGAAATAAGCTGTATTAAACAGCAAATTTGGGGTGGCAAAAGGGGTGGAACAGTTTCCATCCACTCCCAGTTTGATCTCCATTACATGCAAAAATAAATTAATCTCTTACACAGTGTGCCATCCGTATGACCAAAAAACCATTAAACCAGAGGAAAATAGCTAATTCTTCATACCTGTGATTTGACCAGATGTCTAAACTAATATTTAGACAGATCCTCATTTCAAGAGCAAAACAACTACAGAAAGGACCATTTATCTTTCCATTTGGTTATGTAGTTCTAGAGAAGCTAAAAAGGTCATAAATTCCTACAGAAAAAGGCTCAGTGTAACAATAAGCAAGGAGATAAGGACTGGTACATTTCACCAACTCGAGTTGTAGTATTACAGACTGTTGCAATGTTACTGTAAGGGCCACAACAAGAACAAAATATCACATAAGGAGATTCCTAGGTGTACCATTCTGTAATACAGAGACTCATCCACTGGAATGGAGGAGACATTGAAAGTCATTACACATCACTTATGCAGCCGCTTCACCCTGGCCACGCTGGTACCAGGGAGACTGCATCAATTTACTTGGGCTCCACTGCAAGTGGTAGTCATACACGTTTCTGCTATAAAATGATGTCCAAACAGAACCAACACAACATACAATCTTGAGATGTAATGACTTGTAGAACTGCAGGGAAGTACCACACAATTCAAGAAAAAGTCATATGACTTACATGGATAAGGACTGGGTTGTATATTTAAAATCAGAACTGTGTAGAGGAATACTTATTAGCATACAGATTTATTTATTCTGTCTAACTGAATTAGTATCAGAAATACTTTTATGCTTTCAAGGAAAACATAGGTTATGAGCTTGGAATCAACAGCTAAAATGGTAACAAAGGTCCTTCTAGTTGTACAATCTATGAAAACTCTTGTCTTGTAGTTGAACTAGAACAGCCGTGAACAAGTCTTTCCATAGTTAAGTCTACCACCTGTCAAAGTTATTTTTATATTTAAACAGCAAATTCACAAGGACAGAGGTAAGAAAAATAAGTATTTTTTCCCCTTTCAACTAACCATACAGTTTGAAGTAACTAAAAGAATATACTGTTAATTTGCAGTGTTTTGCATTTGTTGTTTAGGAACAAATTGCACTCTTCAGAGCATACATTTTCCTTTACACAATAAAAAAGGGCCAGGACTGAAAAATTCACCATGTCTCAACCCTTTGAATGTTGCTAGTAAAATTTTTCTAAAAGAAGTAAAAGAGATTAGTCTCATGTCTCTTCTGAAGAATTAGACTACCTATTATTAGAGGTGGTAATGGCACTTTTTCTGCAAGAACAGAAGTGCGTTCACCAGCCTGCCACAGCAAGGGCAGCCAGCTGCAGTAGTAGTGAATTTTGTTAGCTGCAGACTGAACAACATTTGAACAGGTACATGGTTTTATACAGTACGATCAGTTAAAAGTAAACAGCTTTCTATCCACTCATCTTGAATTCACTTGTTAACTACATTGAAAGTGCTGAAAACAGCTAAAGCACGTTTTAAGCCAAGGAAAGAGGAGACTTAATTGACTTTTTCTTTAGAAGACTTGCTTTCAAAGCTGGTAAGAAGAGAGAATACATGTGTACCTGCATCACCGTCACAGCTCCATATGTAACAGCTGTCCAGTATATAGAGCCCACCATTATTCCAGCTGCAGCAAATGGACATGCCTTTGAGATCAGTCGATCTGCAAGATCCAAAACGTAAACAACCGGACCTATGATAAAGGAAAAGTAAGGTTTCAAGATTTGCATATGTGTGTGTATACATATAAAAGTGTACTGAAGAAAGCTGTCAGCATCTACCACTGATAAGAATGAACTTGTCAAAATCCAAGTCTGATATCCCACACGTGCTGTTTAAATGAGAACATATAATAAAAAGCTACTAAGCTGAACTTCTTTCTACCTACCATTTAATTCACTCCAACATCTTCCTGAGAGATTAATACACCAGTTAGAGCACTGACTAATTTACCCAGTGAAGTTGACTAGCTTCCTTTGTCTGTATTGAATAAGTTCTGTTGTAGAAATAATTTTAGGTTTAGTGGCTTTTTTATTTGTTAGGTATTTCAGTTTTCAACAGGAAGAAATACTAATTAGTTGCAATGTACTTCATGTGCTTATCTTTGACAGCTTCACTTGAGAATTCTGTCACTGAACTACCCTGCTCTACAGTAAAAAGTAGCACAGTCAATATGAAAGATTCCTTCAGCTGGGCTGCATTCAATATTTTTAGAGGACCACCTCTCAAATGCTGGAGGAATTAAAATCTCCTAGTCAGGTTATTTGTGCCTTTGACAACAATGCATGAATAGAGTTTCACTGTTCTGTCTATGGACAACTGCACTTTCCAGCCTTACACAGAGCAAGATATTACCCTGACCAATTTCGGTGAGGTAAACAAGGGCATGCTTGCATCTTTTGAGGGACAGCAAGAGCAAAGCAAAAGACAGATGTTGAAGTCTGAAGTCACAGTTTATCCAATCTGGCCTATAATTCTTTTACTGCTTCCTAAGGTTTGGAGTTTTTTTTGGTGACAGTGGTGTGGTGGGGTTTTTTTTTGTTTTGGTTTTTT